AATTTGGAAAAGTAATAACATTCTCAATATCATATCATTACACGAGTGAAATTCAAAGCATAAATCATTTCTGTTCGGAGACTGCGGTGTTTGAGTGGGTTGAGGGATGTGTTTTTTAAAATGAACTGAAGTCAATTAAAATGGACAAACAAAACAAGTACAGTCATGTCTTTTGTAAAAAGAAAACACCTTGATGCATGAATTAAATGTATTATGTAAATTATAACTTGATGCAATGTATGTACATTTGCATTATTAGATCTCTAAGTGAGTATAATAACACATCAGTTTACAATAATTGTTGCTTCATTCTTACCAAACACTATACAGAAGTTGCATATTATCAAAATTCTAGACGGAAGAGAAAACACTGCCCTCAGGTGGCTTCAATACATTTTGCATTTGTTTTTAAAGTTTTAAAATTTTAATTTACCTGTTCTATTTTATTGAATGAATTAGGGGTTCATAGCCTTGGGATCTTTCAGTATAGTGTATATTGTACACACTTAGTGTGCAATATCAGTATGCAGGCTGTGAAACTTGATTTGGAGAAATGTAATGCACCTTTCTAATAACTCCCACAATCTATTAGTGAAGCACTTCTATGACAGACATTGTAAATGGGTCAAAATGAAGTCACACCACTGATAGTGTTTTCATCTGCAGTCATCTGTCAGTAACAATGTGTTTGAATAATTTGCAATCTAAATGACGAACTACACAACTAAACATGGTTATTACTTTCAATAACACAGGATTCACCGATTAATGTCACAGAAGTGAATCAACTCTAGAGGGCTATTAGAGGGCGCTAGATAGGCTGTGGTACTTGTTTGTGTTTTGTGTGCGTGCATGTGCATAGTGAGCGACTGTTCACAGCCGAAAATAAATAATGGTGTTGTGTGCTGCTGTTGCTATCAAATATACTGTACATGTTACTGTTAATAAATCAACATTGTCACCACAGTGCAAGATGATCGGTGAGCGGCAATTGTTATTATATATTCACATGCTGGTTGGTAAAAACGTAAACATAAGATGTCACAGTGTGACGTCATTTATAAGAGGGAAATTGTTCATTCCTAACAGTATCTCTGCTCCAGAATCTCAATGAGATGGGACCATATAGTAAACTCTACATAAAATCAACATTAAATTTCGCAGTTTAGGAAATAACTGTACCTCTGACCAATAACATGGCAGCTTTAAAATCATCAATGATTGTGAATTTAATTTTGACCAATAGTAAGACAGCTTACATAACATTGGATGTCATTTTGATGTAGATGACCAATAACAATGCAGCTTAGATGACTAGATCTGACTACATAGGTCTGTGCAAAGGCACTGAAACATGTGCAATCTACTAGAATCTAACGACTAAAAACTAGTCTGCAGTGTATACCTTACAACTTCACTACCTCACCAATAAATCAAAGGATTCACTACTCACTGATTTGGAAGTAAATTGTTCTTCCTCTCGCTGTTGCATATGAAGAAGCTTTACATTAGTAAAGCAGTGGAGGAAAGAAAAGTAAAACAATACAAAGACAAACACAGTAAAAACCTAATCACATTCTTTTCATTCATTCGTTACAACTGGGGAATGATCGTGTAGTTTTCTCACGGCAGTTTAATGGGAAAACCCATTTGCTTGGAGTCCAAATAACAATTGCAAATGCCAGAAATAGCTAACCTCACATGACCTGGGTTCTACCGTGATAACCCTTGGCCGACCACTTAAAACAGGTGTTTTATCATTATAATTTTCTACCAATTTTTTTTTTATTTTGTCATGGAATATATGTATAGTACAAGGCATTATATGCATGATCCCACAAGTTGAAAAATTGATCTATTTTGGTTTCAATATAGAGTTCTAAACGAAAAAGCAGGAGAACAATTACACAAATTAATTGTTTAATTTGCATATATTTTTCCACTTTAGATTTTAATTCCCAGCTTCTAATTGCAAACCAAAATTAATTTATACATGTACCATGTGAAAATATAATAATCAAATTAATTATTACATTATAAAAACTAAACACTTTGTCCCCTATTCAAAAGCCACAATGAATGGAAATAAATTAGTAATATAAAATTTGACTTTTTGTCACATAGAAATCCATTTAAATTGAACGGGCAGCAAAATCATTTATAATTTTGTGTTTTTTCCCCCCTTGATTTGAAGAAAAGCTAAACTATAAATGCGAACCATCATTGGCATGGATGGAACAGTGATGTAGCCGTAGCCAATAATATCTCATATTGATATTACTCAAATACTGTTTTAATAACATGAAAAATGCTTGCATAGCTATGACAATTTACAATACAAGTTGTGCAGACAGATATGTTTTTACTTTATTCATGTGTGGTACACTAACTACACATTGTATACAGTACTAATAGCATACGAGCAGAGCCCACCACCAGAACAACGACCGACGAAAAACAGCCGCCGACAAAGACTAACAGTTTTATACAGCACACATTCATCAATCAAAAAATACAAAATAAAGAGACCACAGAGAAAAAGACCACAGAGAGAAGAAAAACATTTTTCTGGCAAAAAACTTGTGTTGTCTGTGTAGTGCATTTACAGGCATCTGTGAAATCAAAGCATTTAAAGCATGCAGTTGTGCATTTGTAGAAACAATATTCATGCAGCAAAAATTGCAACATTTGTAGTAGCAGCATTCATCTTACCTGAATTTTAAGCTTAGCCATCTCAGCCTCATTAACTGCGTTCTTGTACTGTTCTTCTTTTAAGCGCACCCTTAAAGCGTGAATGTCGTCTTCCTGTGGGGAGAGTACACCACTGCTACAGGCACTGCCGCTACTCTCGTCAAGCTCAAATGTTTCTTGGACGAACTGTTCATCATCGGAAGACGCTTCAGGGGAATGCAGCTTTACCACAGACTGCATACAAAAATAAATATCAGTCATATCAAACACATTTACATAGAAGAGCTGTTTGTATTTTGTTGTTGATTATTCAAAGATTGATAAAGAAAGAATATAGCAAGATTGGATTAATCTAGTAATACTGCCCTCACTGGCTGGTTTGAAAAATACTTTCTTTTTTGTTGCTCAACTAACCTCAGGTTCCTCTCCTCTTCTGTATGCAACTTGTTCTTGTTTAATTGATTGCTGGATAAGTCTGGCTACTTCACTGGTGCCATCTTGCACTTTTTCCCTACCAATCAAAAACCTATGAAAAAAAACAAAAACATCACATATAAGAAAAGAAAGAGAGAGATTGTTATTTCAAAAGTTGGAAAGATGCTTTATTTGACGATGTTCGTAGATCCCCAGACAGTAGAAACAAGTTACGAACGTTTCGCCAATTTAAAACAAATATTTTTTACGAGAATTATTTGGATATCGTTCATGTTCCCCTGTACAGACAAGCTTTAACTAAACTTTGATGCTCTAATCATAAGTTACACATTGAGACCGGTAGATATTATGGAACTCCAGTGGAAAATAGAACCTGCCAAATATGTATAGATGCTGTTGAAGATGAAACTCATTTTCTGGTAGTATGTCCAGCATATAACCATATTCAAAAACCGCTTTTTGATCGAATTAACCGCACTGAACCACAATTCGAGTTCCTTTCGCCTATCCGTAAACATACATATATTTTTTCTCAGGATAACCATGAAATCATCCAAAGTATTGCAAGATTTGTATACACAGCTGTTCAGATTAGATATAATTTGCTAGTGTGAGTTCTCCAATAGATGAGTTGTATATGTGTGTGTATGTGTATATATATATAATACTTTATTTTATTGAGGCGATTAAAGTCACGCCTGTAACTTTCGCATTGTAACCTGTTCCCCCAGGTTAGTGGGGTATATTTCTTTAGAGAAATGGAAATAAAATAATAATAATAATAATAATATAAAACCCTATTTATATCCATTATGCCGATATCTCTAAATGATGCCGTATTATTACTTAATGGTACTATAGAAATGCGTAAAACCATAAAACTCTCTCTGTAAATCTGAATTTTCATACTATATAATCAGATCAATGATGTAATTAAGATAATTTGTGACTCAAATATTTCACTCTGGAACATGTGGTGCATTCTTTGTTTTACTGTGTCACTCATCACATCATTCAACATGTTCAACATGTGCCTATAATACAAATGCATTATAAATAAAATGCATGCATGACTATGCGCCTTTAATATTAAATTGACCTTAATTAAAGAACATTGTCAGACAGCCCCATTCAGGTCTCATAGTGATACAAACATATTTCTTATATTAGAGCCTATGACCAGACTCTTTTAGGAAACCCCATTACATTGACAATGGTATTAAAATCCATATATACATTATTTGTTTTATTTGAAGTGCAGTTTTAATGGAAGGGCATATATACATAGGTTAGCCTAGTTATCTTTGATTAGGAGAATTTACAAACTAATAAACCCTGTCATGTACACGTTTTTTTTGACAGGATTTAAGTGCAAGCACTTCTAACAGAGTAGGAGAACATTCCTCCTTCAATAGGTATGGTTTTATGTTTAACCTTTTCACCACCACTTCCCTCTTTTCATCAGAAATTCACAAAATAGTCCCGTTTATAGTCTGCACTTTCCTTCAGAAGATTGGGACAAAAATGGCCAAATTTTTCAAGTACAAACTGAAAATTGAATTAAATTTTGTCCGTTGGTTCCAAAATTAGGGTTCATTTCCAGAAATATTGAAGAATATAAGAAAAAGATACAGGAAAATTTGGGCTTGAAAGTGTAGTTGTGAAAAGATTAAGACTGAATACATACCTCACTTTGCCACTTGTATTCTTAAGAACCTGAGCAGCATAACTTTGTGTGACACCAACAAGACTTTTACCGTCCACTTCAATAATTTGGTCATTCACTTGAATCCTGTCAAATTAATAATCCCATGAAAATATGAAGAATCTGGTCGAACATAGACATACTGTGACTGAACAGGTTAAACAATCATACTTTTCATACATACATACATACATACATACATACATACATACATGCATTTCCTCACAGATCAAATTTGTCATGATGAAATTTTCAGAATTTTCTGTGACTCGTAAAATTTATACAAATTTGACTCTAAGAAAATCCAAAGTCCAGTTCTGTCAGTTTATTCGAAAGTAACACAAATGTAGGAAAACTAAGTTCATTAACATTTGCACACAGAAAATAAGGGGGTTTTAAAAAAACATTGGAAAGATCATATCTTTAATAATGCTTAATTAAAATGACTAACCTATTGTCTTTGAAAGCAGCACCATTTTCAGTAATTGTCTTGATAAAAATTCCCAGTTTCTCCAACCCAGCATCAGCTCCCACCCCCATCCCTATAATACTAAGACCCAACCCTTCCTGACCTGAAAAGAAATAGAGTTCTCATCAAAATTCAAAATAAATCAACGTTATTTTTTTTTTGTTAACTCAGCTCTACTGTCGATTTAGCTGTGAAATAGTACCACAGTATTTAACTATCTATTTCGGTTTCAATATAGAGTCTAAACGAAAAAGCAGGAAAACAATTACACAAATTAATTGTTTAATTTGCATATATTTTTTCACTTTAGATTTTAATTTCCAGCTTCTAATTGCAAACCAAAATTAATTTAAACATGTACCATGTGAAAATACAATGTATAATAATCAAATTAATTATTACATTATAAAAACTAAACACTTTTGTTTGTTTCCTATTCAAAAGCCACAATGAATGGAAATAAATTAGTAATATAAAATTAATTTAACTGCAGAAGTTTTTATTTCTGCGTCTCCTCATAGTGCTGTAGTCAACTGTGAAACCATCAGTGTATCATACACTGTACGCACACGGCCACGGCACACTGGTGTGCTATTCATATAAGTGATCATAGTTTTTTTTACTTATAAACAACAAACAAGTCACTGTTCAAGTTCATTTCGATGTAACTTTTTACACACAATTTTGGTAAATGGAATTGAAACCCAACAAGTGAAATGGACTGAAATTATAAAAAACAATTATGCTTTCCTAGCTAAATTCTGAGATGATTTGAGATCGTCACTTTGTTGAAGAATATTACTCATTTAAGTAGATGCATGAAGACAGACTAATCTACAAGCATGCAAGGTACAACAACAGCATTTATATGAGAGTGACTGTTGCTGTCTGTGTATGAGCAAATCATTGTTTTTTTACATTGTCATCAAGTGCCGTCAGTATTCATCTCACCTATGATTACAAGTATCATATGTAAAGAGAGTTACTACACTTACCCTTTTCCAATTCAACAGGGAAGACATCCATGCGGTCCACGCGCTTTTCAAGTTCGTACTCGGCAGACGCTGCCACAGGATCAACATCATCATTTCTTCGATCATAGTCTTCAATTGCATAAGTGGCATATACCTAGTGAAAAGAGAAGAATGAACTTTAGCGAGCCAGACATGTCACATCAAATTCTTCAATGGAATATTATCATACAGAGTCTGTTGTGTATTACCGGTACATGTGTGAGGTATATATTGTGACATCATCAAACTATGTCCAGCAACCAACCTATATTTCTGGAGATACACATGTATCAGTGGAACACACATACACACAGGCATAAAGACAGACAAACTGCAAAGACTTCAATTATGTGCTTCACAAACAGGAGTCAAAAAGCACATTCACTCATTAACCAATCAAACAGCAAAACAAAAAACAACATAACAATGTACTCAAAAAGAACAAAATCAAACACACAACAGTGTACTCATGACAACAAGAACCAACCAAACAAACAGCATAACAATTCAACCAATAGTACCACCAACCAATCATATCATTTTAAAATTATGTAATTGTAATGCACACTAATCTGCAGCATGGCTATATCATATGGCAGACATAGCATGGGAAAATTTGCAGACCAGGCAAACAAGAAATAAAAAATATAAACAGTAGCAGTATCATTAGCTGACAGGTCATTAAAATAAACCAGACATTTACGAACAGACTATTTTATTACAGGTTGTCCATCTCTCATCAGTTCAGTAAATGTGTTTCTATTTCTCTAGAGTCCAGTTCATCTGTACAAATGAATCCTGGTGGTGCATTACAAGGAGACACAACAACTGGCTACTATTACTTTTATCTGATATTCATTAGGATAGGCATCTTTCATCAGTTGAAACTTTTAATTTCATTTGGAGGAAGCACTCAATTTAATTGTACGAGAACACCATCAGCTGTAGCTGTAAATGCACTTTATCTCAGTGCAAAAGGTGACTTGAGTAGAAAAAGAGATTTTTCGGGTTGGTTTCCATGCTGCCGAGGCACTTTGTGCACAGTACCACTTTATTAAAAGTATAATTTCATTAGTACATGTACTATGTTGAAAATGTCTGCCACTTATACTAAGAAGATAATAGTAATTAACATATACACTGAAAAATACAGCAATATGTCCAATGATTTCAGAGAAAGTGTTTTTTTTCTATACACACAAAAGCATAATGTATTATGGTGATCTTATTTAATTCATATGGGATATTTTCTATGCCAAGGCACATACATGTACATGATATGAGATAATATTATGACGCATACATGTATTTCTATGATATTTTTTCATTTATTTTGATATATGAAACATCCAGGGTGTACTGATAATCTGTGCATTCTGGAAGAGTTCAGAACAGCCGCCCAGTCTACATTTTTTGGTCCCAGTCTGTCCAGGTATAGAGTGAATATATTTTGATGCACATAAATTTCAATATTTTATACTATTTTTTTTTTAGATTCTTGATTTTCCACCTACATGTATGCCTCCTATCTACAATTTTGTTGCAGAATTAGGTTCTCTATTAAAATACCTTTCGCTTAATAAATATATCACACATTTTTTTGAGTAGGTTGAAAATTGTATACCTGAATATCAAAAGATTAAATATTATTAGAAAATGAATGTTTTATCTAGATATGCAAATAAGGTACGGGCC